GGAGAGCCTTTCTTTTCTTCCATGATACTTGTTTACTGAACCAACATATACTCACGGGGGGGATCCATTGTGAGAGTGACAGGTTGTGGAAAACAATGTGGTTGGTGTCTGCAAGCTGGGATACTGTCACAGTGATGTGATTGCCCACTGTGGATTATATCAAACGCTTTTTGACCACTCTTGATTGGGGGTCATTCCACTCTGGTAAGCGCCTTGGGACCCACACTTGCATTCTGCTCTTCTTTGGGAAGATCACCCTTTCCTTCGGCTCTTCATTGGGACTTATATGTTTATTTACATTATTTTAAATATTACTATTTAAACCATTCAGATGAGGTGGATGTGGATCACATTTGAATAATTCATATATGCGCATAATTTACTGTTTTCACTTTTATTGGTAGATATATAGTTACATGATCAGTTTTTTAGCGCTGCACTTTTTGTTTATTATTGCAAACAATTAGCCAAGCTACACCCTCTGTTCATTTCACATTTCGGAAATCTATTTTAAGGATAACAAAAGTTTACCTGATATACTATTATTTCCATTAAGTACAAAGGGAGATGCTAATTTGATTTACAAAGTGTGACTAGGCTTATTACAAAACAAAAACATTATAATAATTGGACCAGCTCTTGATGAATACAGTTCCTTTTTAATGGTACAGTGCTTTGTAATGCTGAAGTTAATTTTTATCAAAGCAACTACTGTGACATACATTTTGCAGTACAAATAAAACATGTATTTCATTGTACAGAGAACTTTTGTTTTTCTGATCCCTAGTGGGAACAGTCTTATTGATTGCTCCACGATCCATATAATGCAATAGAACAGTCCAACCCACTGGCCAAATTATGATGAAAAAATGGTTGCTTGTCATCGACCGAAAAAAAAGCTTTTCAATGAAGCATCTCTAAAACAAGGGCTTTCTTTGCTTAATTCATTTTGAATAGGGACACAGACATGATTTACAAAAGTTTGACTTTTTAAATTAATGCCCTTTTTGGCTCTACAAAATCAGAAGAAATAAAAATAAACAGTTGTTTGATCATACTTAACCTAATGTGGCAATATTTCTAATCTAAGATGCCCAGAGTGGCAAGATGCTGACAATGGCATTCCTACCAGGCTATCCGATATTGAACAATTTCTTTATGAAATAATTTGTAACTATGTCATATACTAATTGCAGTGCCACAATTTAAAGCAATTACAGCACATATGAAATAATAATATTGATAATAATAAGTATGTATAATACAGTATAATAAGACCAAGTGGCTTTGACCAAAACCAAGTTGAAATATTACATGTTTCGTTTTTAGACTACCTTTAAAAATAGTAGGAAGGGTAGTGTGGAATATCTGCATTCTGAATAAAGAGAATGGCTTGTTAACAGTCTATCTGTTAACAAAAACTCGCATAGATATGTTAGTTTATATTTATGTGCTTTTGTGGGACTTGGGGAAGATTAGAACCCACTTTGAGTTTTTAAAGTGACACTAAAATTGGCCATAGATGGTTCTTTTTTTTTTTTTGTTTAGCCTGCATGCACACAAGTAAAGTGGATGGAGTACCCTTGCCCCCCTCTCCAACCAATGCCGAGACATTGTATTCTGACAATAACAAGCTGTCAGAATACACGGTGGTTGACAAATGTTTTCCAGCTTGTCCATTCAATCTAACAATTGACTTCTGTTGAAAAGACAGCCATACACAGATTAAAATTTGTCTGGTCCCTGAATTTCGATTCATCTATGACCAGTTTAAATGATATCCTTAACTATTCAAAAAGAATCCATTCATATCCTCTACTTGATGGCCTTGTAATTTTTTTTCATGAAATACATTACATATTGTGCTTTTCTGCCTCCTTGTAGTGTCCTCCAATAGCTTCAGAAACTTTCATTTTCCACCTCACTTCCGTTTGTTTGGAATGAGCAATGAACGTTAGTCATGTGCACTGCTGTATGTACACTACAATCCTATAATCCATAGTCAACACTCCATTTTGGGAGTGATCAAGAGAGGGTGGCTATGTTTGTATTTACAGTGGGACCATGGGGAATGAAAGTAACCAGGAAAAAAAAAGTAATCCAGACAAGAAATAAGGGAATAATTTCCAACAGAAATAGACAGAAATATTTGTTTCAATAAAGTATGGGAGACTAAAATGCATGAGTGATTTTTTTATTTTTGTCAGCACCCCATGTGTAAGTTTTTCATCTCTTCCGGTCTGGTAAAACCTTTGCCACTGTGACAGTAAGTGTAAAATTTCAAAAACCCAAAGGCAATACAAACCTGACATGGGTTCTCTTCCCTTCCCACAGTATCCTAAACTATAAAAAAGTTTGGACTGGATATACACCTTAATGACACTTTATTTTCTAATATGTATGCCTCTCAACAGAGGGCTGCATAGTACTGTACTAACACAGTATTACTTCATCAGTCATCCCTGGTGATCACATGATCTCCTGCTGTACTGAAAATAGTTGTGTCTCATAGATTTGCCAAAACTCACAAGGCACAATGCCAAAATAGGGGTGAATTTTTCATGTAGTTCTGACATCTCCAAGCAACCCACAATGAGTGTTTGAATTTGATCGTAGTTCACACCTCAGCAGGCAATTGCAGTGCAGTTCCCAGAACACCATGTGCACTTGTGCAAGGGCTGCTTCATCTGATGGACCATGAGTATCTCAGCAACAGACAGAATGCCGCCTAATAGCCTAAATGTGTACTGTAGGCAAAACTTTATTTTTAATTTTGGATAGAATGTGGAAGGGTTAGCACCTCTGTAAGGGTTTACTGCTATCCAGTACTCTGTTAGCGAGATTTTCCCCCACTTCCTGTTCTAGAGACAACCTTCTACTAAACAAAAAAGACACATACTGTATCATGCACTACAGCAGGCAAGTGACCCTCAATACAACCCACCAACCTAAAAACAAATCCAAATCAATAGTCAATAAATATATTTGGGATGTGGTATTGACAGAGTAGCAATACCAAAATGATGTATACAGTCAAGATGATCCTTGCCGCTCTGATGGAATGCATTTGGGAAGTGCAAAAGCTACAACTACAAAACAAAAGCACAAACAAAGCACATTAGATAGTGCTAGTGAAACCATTCCTTAACAATAAATAAAATATTAAGAGTTATACTCACAAGAGCTGGGAGGTTCCATCACCAAACAATGTCACAGCCAGGGCTAATGTATATGGACCATACCAGGGGCAGACTGACCATTCGAGCACTCTGGCACTGCCCGTGGGCCCGGGATCAGTAGGGGGCCCTATGTAATGCCCCTGGTACATTTTTATTGGCTTTTTTGAGTGTGGGCAAGGACACAGGGGCCCCATGATCCCCTATTGCCTGGGGGCCCCATGAGTTGTCATTCTGCCCCTGGACCATACTCACTCCTTCTGTATAAGGGGGAGAGTTGACTTATACAGAGGGAGTGCATCTAGTGTGCTTCATTTGTGCTTTTTTTTAAGAAGTGAGGGAAGATTTGGAACAGAAAGGCAAAACTAATAAAAAGCTAACAGCTTTCTCCTATTTAACCTAAAATGAATATTACTGAATTTCATTTGGAGAGATTCCTTCACTTCCTGTGCAACTAAAAGGCTGTCCCTATGACCAGAAGTGAGAGGAAAACTCTCCAGCAGTGCCCTGGACAGCACTAAAACCTGACAGGAGTTTTAATCCTTCCCTACTCTATCCAAAAGTAAGAAAAAAAAATTTTTACTATAGGTACAGTAAAGCGAAGAACAAAATGGCCTTCTCTTGCTCTAAATTATATAATGCTTTAGATGCATTTAAAAAATATAATAAAGAGAGGACCCTGGCAGGGTTGGCATATAATAAAAAAACATAAGAAGACTAAACACAGCTTTATTTGTGTTAGGACCTCTTTTCATTTCTACCTAGTATGGCTCTGAATAATTATGTGAACAGTCTGTGAAATTACTATAGAGGTTAATGATGCCTTGTATGAGAGGATGAATTGTGGTTGGTCTCGCTGAAGCACGCAAGATACATTATAGGAAACATTTTTCATTCTAGCTATTTATTTTCTGCTATTTGCGTTAACATTTTAAGGTATATAAAAAAGTAATAATTTTTAAAAATGACTCAAAGGTAGAATAAACAACAACTGTGTTGTGAGAAGGCCTTCCTGACTGAATATAAATGAAATTAATTGTTAGAATAGGCTTACTAATTCTATAGCTGATTGCATGGTCTCTGTAAAATATTCGAGCCCTACATGAAAATTGTATTACATTTTTTCACCCTATCAGGTACTCCTCACACTCCTTTTTTAAGTTATAGATGGCTGTACAAATAGACTGTAACTTTTGGTGGGAGAGAAAGGGATGTGCACTAAGGGGAAGTTGGGTTTATGAACTTGGGTGAATGATTTGAACACCATTTAATTTGGGCCCATCTACTGTTAGGCTACAGAGTGGTCCATAATACTCAATTAGCGTGAATATTGTGAACTACAATTGGACCCATCTTACAGTATATTGCCAAAAGTATTGGGACACCCCTCCAAATCATTGGATTCAGGGTGTGAATCAATGAGGTCAGCTGCTGAAGTACCTGCTCACTCTACAAACAATTGCTGCATTTGTCACATGTTATTACACACGGCAAAAGAAAAAACGGTGAACTTTTAAGTCTGTTATTTTTCAACATTCTTTAGTTGTCCAGCAAAAGTGGAAGTTAGAGAAGTTGAGAAAAACTATTTAACACTGACAGGGGTGCTTACAGTGGTCAGTTTTTATTCATGTAGTTAAAACCTTTATCCCAAAAGGAAAAAATGTTTCTGCTTAAAAAGTGTCGTTTGGATTTAGGATTTAATCTTTTAGCCTATGTAAATATACACTATATTGCCAAAAGTATTAGGATACCCCTCTAAATCATTGGATTCAGGTGTTCCAATCACCTCCATGGCCACAGGTGTATAAAATCAAGTACCTAGACATGCAGACTGCTTCTACACACATTTGTGAAAAAATGGTTCGCTCTCAGGAGCTCAATGAATTCAAGCATTGTACAGTCATAGGTTGCCACCTGTGCAATAAGTCCATCCATGAAATTTCCTTGCTACTAAATATTCCACAGTCAACTGTTAGTGATATTATAAAAAAGTGGAAGCAGCTGGGAACAACAGCAACTCAGCTATGAAGTGGTAGGCCACGTAAAATGACAGAGCGGGGGTCAGTGCATGCTGAAGCGCGCAGTGCGCAGAAGTCGCCAACTGTCTGCAGAGGCAATAGCTAAAGACCTCCAAACTTTATGTGGCCTTCACATAAGTACAACAGCGCATAGAGAGCTTCATAGAATGGGTTTCCATGGCAGAGCAGCTGCATCCAAGGCTTACATCACCAAGTGCAATGCAAAGCATCGGATGCAGTGGTGTAAAGCACGCTGCCACTGAACTCTAGAGCAGTGGCGACATGTTCTCAGGAGTGACGAATTATGCTTCTCTGTCTGGCAATTTGATGGACATGTCTGGGTTTGGCGGTTGCCAGGAGAACGGTATTTGCCTAACTGCATTGTGCCCAGTGTAAAGTTTGGTGGAGGGGCATTATGGTGAGCGGTTGCTTTCCAGGGTTTGGGCTTGGACCCTAATTCCAGTGAAGGGAATACATTTAGGACAATTCCATGCTCCCAACTCTGTCTGAACAGTTTGGGGATGGCCCCTTGCTGTTCCAATATGACTACGCACCAGTACACAAAGCAAGGTCCATAAAGACATGGATGAGCGAGTTTGGGGTGGAGGAACTTTACTGGCCTGCACAGAGTCCTGACCTCAACCCGACAGAACACCTTTTAGATGAATTAGAGCGGAGACTGCTAGCCAGGCCTTCTTGTCTGACATCAGTGCCTGACCTCACAAATATGCTTCTGGAAGAATGGTTAAACATTCCCATAGACACACTCCTAAACCTTGTGGACAGAATTCCCAGAAGAGTTGAAGCTGTTATAGCTGCAAAGGGCGTCCCAATACTTTTGTCAATATAGTGTATGTCAGGATGGGGAGTGGTATATACTTAAAAATGAATTAGGATGGACGTTTTCGACTCTAAATAGGCCTATCTGCTGTCAGGCTGGGACAGTGGTCTACAATATTGAGGCAGAATAAATGTTTTATACTACAGCTGGGTCCATCTACAAGCAGGTCATGGATAGATTCAATTTATCAACTTGCGTTAGGGTAATACAAAAGTAATAATTTTGGAAGACTCCGTCTGCTGTTCTTCTGTGATAACAGAACCGATTGGGAAACCCTTGATTTTTTTATAATTCTGTTTATAAATAGTTTTTACTTTCTAGGATACATTTTGGTACAGTAATGGGTGACATTTCTCATGAGAAGACTCATTTACATTTCATATTTAGGACTATCAATTTCCAGTGCACAAGATAACATATGGTGATCATTTATGCAGATCTTATCTGACTTTCTGAATCACAGAGAAATTATTTTTTAATACATTGTTTAGTTAGAGGTGAGATGCACTCCCAAATATTTAAATATATGTCTTTTTAATGTTCTCAATCTAGTTTCTCCAAGAAACACCAATGTGTGAGAAGCGGTTTCAATGCTTTTCTCAGGCTTCTGATTAATCCCAGAGCTCAAAATAAATGAGAAGTGTATTAATATCTTCCAGTAGAAACTCTTTTTAAGTTCAGGACAATTACTGCAATGTCATCTAAGTAAATCACAGTTTTTAGAAATGTGCTTCTTCAAAGTGACAGCACATCCTCAGGAGCATTTTGTCAAAGTCCTTTGGGGAACTGCAAAACTTTCTTATCACAACTTTGTTGATAAAAACTTTTCCCTAGTGTTACATTATTTTGTACAGTGACTTGTTGTCAATTGTTTAAATATAAATTGCTTCATTTTATCTCTTTAAGAAATATAGTTAAAAAAGGCCAATAATGTTTTTGTTAGTCTAATAATATGATTTTCTTTCCGCCTTAAAACTGGCCACATTATATTCTGCTTGTGCAATCGTTGTTTCCTTAAGTGTTACTAAAACTATGTATTATGAGGACCTACATAAACAATACATTTCATTTGTATCCATTCAGGTAGGCCCTTGCACATATTTGTTGACATAACTAAAGGAGACATCAAACTTCAGTATATCATATATACTGTAGTGTGTGGATCAAATCGATATATATCATCCAAAAATGTCTATGATCAATCAACAATAGCAATAAGTCAGACTATACTGGTTGCATCAAGCATCAAAAGATACCTAAAATGATAAATAGTAAAATGTAAACATAAAAGACATATACACAAAGCCCTGATATAGCCCCTTCGACGTGTACGTTATGCTTAAAAAAAAATCAGTTATTTAAACAATATGTAAACGCTTTACTTGTGTACCAACTTAAAAAACTTTGAGAAATTTGTATGTGATCCAATAAGTCCATTGGATGTCAAATAATAACCAAGGAGGCAATTATTTGGTCCCATTGCATGCACTATAGTGTGGATTACTGAATAATTCCCAATTCATGACTGTTCACATCTACAGGCATTTGTCAACATCTCAGTGGTTTAATGGGAATCTTAAATTAAGTTTACCAACCTTGGCGCCAGTGCCTCCCGGCCCTTTAAGGGGTTTGTGGTTCTGGGAGGTGGGGTGAGGTTTAGCCTTGATTGGCTGTCATGGCGGTCACATGATTGGAAAGCTCCCAACTGCAAGTAGTGATCGGGAACTTTCTTTGAGGCGCTGATAAATGCCCCAGGAGCGTGTGCTCTGAGCACATTTTTTGTTTACATTGGGTACGTAAATATGCGGTCCCTTGGTGCCAAGGCCCAGCCACCAAGAGGCCGCATATTTGTGTATGCTTAATATTGATACTATCTGGCAGCTTTCTATAGACTCAAATCTAATATGTGTAAATTTGAAAGTGCATATAAATTCAGAAACAAAAGTGTAATACATTGCATCCCATAAATCCATAATAGGGTGGCTTTGTTTTCTTTTTTTAGGCTTTTTTCCCTTCATTTGCACCGGGGATCCAGCTCTTAAAGTTGAACTAAACTCAGAAATCCTCACCTTAGCCCCAACAGTCCAACAATCTGTTTATCCACAAGATGGCAGCAAGCAGCACTTTTACTCTGCCATAGTCCCAATACAAGGATTCAGAGCATTCTGGGAGTTGCAGGCTGGAAGCAGGATTTTCCACACAGTAAAGCTGAAGTCAAACCACAAAGCCCAGACGCAACAGCCAAGGGACAGGACACTATAAAGGAAAAAGCCTGGGAAGTTACAGGGGGAGTTGGGGACAGGCGTGCCAGTGGGAAGGAATGCTTGTGTGACTTTGTCGTGCTTGTTACTAATCAGGCCTGCCTAGGCTGCGATCACCTCTTGACAATGGCCTTTATCAGAAACAAACATTCCACTGTCATCTACTGCTGTAAGCAGCCGCTTTCGTCACTACTGTGGATACTGCTCCCAGATTGCTGAACTGTACCAATATTTTGATTTCCTCTCTTCAACTGCATTTACTTTGGCCTTGGTAACTTAAAAGAATACTCCTGCTAGCTAAATTCAACTTCACTTTATGGAACTTCCCCATTGACTCTGCATCTTAAAGTGAACTACCCCACAGCTTTGTCTCATAAAACTATCCAAATAGCTTCATCTCTTAAAGTGAACTGTCCCAATAGCTTCATTCTCTAAAAGTGACCTACCCCAATAACTTCATCTCTGAAAGTGAACTGTCTCCATTGACTTCCTCGCCTAAAATAACATCACTTTGTTTTGTGTGACAATGTAAAGGGCCCCAACTAAGTTGGCAAAAAAGTTTATATCATAGGGTTATTTAGATATTAAGGGTCCGTCTGGTAGTGCAAGGGATTCAACAGACTTTCAGGCCTAAGCCTAGACTCTCCTGACTGAAAACCCTCAAGTGAGCTAGCCCATAGTTCTTTTGTCAGTCTTTTGAATTTACTTGGGGTGTGATATGCCAGACAGAGAGCTCTCAGTCCTGCAGGACATAATAACCCTCACTTTAAAAATGGTACCTCAGCTAACTGCACTGTATTGCCATTGTGTTGTTTCATTGTGTTCAACATTTAATCTCTAAACTGCTGTATTGCCTGATTGTTCTAGTTCTATTAATATAGCTTGTTTATTTTACTACAGCTGGTGTGCACCCTTCTTGTGTGACTGCTGGGAGGCCCCAGCAAAAGGTATGCAGTTGGTGTCAGTAGGAGTGAGGCTATGTATAGGGCTAGGTAAAGAGTGGAAGACCTAAATCTATCAGCGGCGCCTTCGGGGTAGCGCTACATAAAGTTTAGTTCCACTTGAAAGGATAAGTTCCTTTTGAGGAAAAATTTCACTTTTCATAATAAATAGAAGCCTTTTCTAATGGCTCTGCCCCAGCCATCCCAGTCTTTTTAAATCTCACTTATCTAGTCCATGGCACCCTTCAGTCTGCACCCTTCTCTTAAAAATGTTAAAAAATGCATTCTGAGCCTATCACTTCCTGTAGCATCATGTGACTATTTAGGAAAATTCATATCCCATCATGTATTGCCTTACTGCAATACTGAATAGAGCATATTTTACCTCTATGGAACACATATCCCTCTTTACTATACCACTTCTTTTTTTATTTCCACTCACTTACCTATTTCTTCTTTTCAGATGGCCTTAGACTGTGCAATCTGATTGTATAATCTCTTTTAGATCTTCCATCAACTATATAGTGCAAGGGCCTGTCTGATTTGATACTAATTGAATAGATTGTTAAAGTGGGCAATCCTATTCCATAGTTTTGGTAAATCTGAAAGGAAATTGTACAGAGATTGTACAATCAGATTGCATAGCGCATGGCCAGCTTTATACAAGAACATAGGAGGGAGCGGATGGGGATACTCAACTGTCATTTCCTGTCACATTCATAGGGCAGCCCATTAATTGCAATGGGCTATCCTATGTGTGCAGCAAAGTAGCTCATTGTACACGTTAGTGTGTTGCAGTCTGCATGTTTTCTACTGTGTGTTTTGCTGCGTTCGTTGCGTGTTGTTGCACAAGGCAAAATGTCTGTTTATTTCCGCATTTGGGGGTACCATTAACAATTAATGGCAACAAAAGCATGACTAGTGCCAGTACAGAGGTGGGTGGCAGCAATCTCCTGGAGGGCAGCTGCAGGGTGTGAATCGATGAGGTCAGCTGCTGAAGTACCAAACACTTGCAGCATTCGTCGCGTGTTGTTACACACGGCAAAAGAAAAAATGGTGAACTTAGCTTTTAAGTCTGTTATTTTTCAACATTCTTTAGTTGTCCAGCAAAAGTGGCAGTTATAGAGTTGAGAAAAACT